GGCCGGTGCTGACGCCGGTGCTGACACTGCGGATGGGCCCCTGGGGCGGAGCCTCACGCTCAGGCTGGGTTTTGAGTGGAAAATTCCCGATGCAACAACAGAGGCTTGAGTCCTCCGGGTAGACACAGCTCCACAACCTCTACCGGCTTGGTTTCGTCCAGCTTTCAATTCTGCCCAGAACCCCAGTCCTGCTACAGGCCCTCCAGGGCGGCGGAGTGGGCTGGTCACTGGCCCTCTGCCCCAGGCCACCTCTTCCCCGGTCAGGGGCCTCAGTCACACCCAGAAGACCACCCCCAGGCCAGACGCCCTGCAGGTGGAGGGGGGATCGGGGCTCAGGCTCCCTGCCCAGCCACTCTCGGGGCACAGGGCACCACGGGGCGAAGGTCAAGGCTGGGCCCTAAAGGGGTGCTTCTCGGGCCCTGCCCCCAAGTTACACATGTCCAGGAACATTTCTCTCCCTCCTCTGAGACGGGCAGTTCTGCCGCTGGCGCGCCCAGGAAAAGCTCTCCTGGTTGCTGTAGTTGAGGACTGTCACAGAGGCCCCGGGACAGCACCACGAACAAATGAGGGCCAGGCTGGGGACTAACCGCCCGAATCCTGACCAGAAATCAGGAGCACAAACAACTGGCCCAGGGCAGACCTGGTGGTCAAGGGCAGGCTCAGTGGTCAAGGGCAGGCCCAGGGGACAGGGCAGGGCAGGCAGACAAGGGCAGGCAGACAAGGGCAGGCCTAGGGTACAAGGGCAGGCCCAGGGCACAAGGGCAGGGCAGGCAGACAAGGGCAGGCTCAGTGGTCAAACTAATAAGAGTTTTGCTAACTCCTGCTCCTATACGATGCCCACAATTTGTGCCACTGCCTGCGGAGCTCATGCTCCAGCTGGGAAGGCGAGTGGCTGCCAGGAAAGGACGAGAGGCCACACGAAGCGTCGGGACTCTTACCCACGTTGGCCAAGGTCAGGTGCAGCAGGCCCTTCACCACCGTGTGGACGCCGATCGGCCTGATGCTGCCAGACGCAGTCACGTCTCCACTCAGCACCATTGCGTCCTGTTCGTATTCGGTCGCCAGGACCTCGAGCTCGTGGGAGACCTGCACAGCCGGGCGGCCCTGGCGGAGGAGGTGCTGCCGGGGAGAAGGCACGTCACCGCCCAGCAGATCCGACCTGGAACCCGAGCCCAATGCCTGCCGGGCTTCTCCACAAATTCACCCACCACGTCAACACCCGGGAGCCGCCCTCGGGAACCCCCTCCGTGGGGAGAGAGGGGACGGAGCAGCAGGACACCGAGCAAACCCCATCTCTACGTCAGACCTTTCGAACCAAGACGGGCCTACAGGCAGGACGGGCCAAGGGACACGCCAGGCCGGGTGCCGAGCACAGAGCCCCCAGGCCAGGGGCCGC